GGGAGGGGGTGGCAGGCGCTAAAGCCCAAGCCCTGGTCAGGAATAGCAGGTGCTTAGAGCTAAGCCCGAAGCTCTCAGGTCCTCCTTTTCTCATAGGCTGTGTCCTGGCCCAGGTGGGGCCCAGGTTCCTCAGCCTCACCCCACCTCTCGCCTCATCTGGCCTTCCTAGGGGGTTCCCCTAGGTGCTAAAGGAGTGTAGACTGAATGTTAGCTCTGTTGGCAGCTCTCTGCCCCTCCACCAGTCACTTGCAGGCACTGTCTCATCTCTCCCACTAGCCCAGCCTGGGTTCCCAGGGCCAGTGGTGCATGTGGAGGGGTAGACCAAGGCCTCCCTCCTACCCTCACCCAGCCCCGCCCCACCCTGGGGCTCACGAAGTTTGCTCCTCCAGGTTCAGGAAGGTCTGTATGACAAGGGGCAGCTCGGACTTGATGATGTACAGGTAGCTGGACATGGCTGGGGGGAGAGAGGCGGGCAGGTGCTGGGGTCAGCCAAACCAGCCAGTCTTCAGCCCGCCCACCTGCCCACCACCTGTCTGGGTCTGCCTGCCAGGCTCACCTCCAATATTCTGCAGTGTGATGGCCAGGGCCGCTGCCAGCTTTCCTGGGGTCCCAAAGGCACGGTAGCCTAGCTGCTCATAGGCACGGATACCTGTGGGGACAGGAGTCAAAATAGTCAGGAGTGCTCTCCCCAGCCCAGCCCTCCCCTGCTCCAGGCTGGGTTGGGGGCTCACCCACGATCCCTGAGGACTTGAGTAGCAGGTGGATGGAGTAGCTGGAGAGCAGGGCGACGGCTGTCAACAGGAACCTGGGGAAGATGGGCGAAAAGGAGCCACTGAGGGCTTCACTGGCTGGCAGGGGTGGTGAGCTCTGGGAGGCCTGGGTGTGTGGGTCTGTGACCCAGGTGTCTGGAGCCCCCAACAGGTGTGGATGCAAGCTCAACTGGCCCCGGCAGGGGCGAACACCGCTCAGTTTGACCCAGGGTAAGCCATGACCTAGAAGGGGCCCTCTGAGCACTACCTCCTTGAGTTCTTGGAACAAACATGCTTTCCATTTAGACTGCAGGGCAGAGCTCCCAAGTAAGGACACGTGTGTCCACACAAGGCCTGGCCATGGGGCTTCGTTCATCACGTGTAAACGGTGGTAGAAGTATAGATTCAGGTCTGTTAGGCTTGCCTGTGTCATAATCTCAGTGGGTTTACCAGGAAATGAGGGATATTTGTCTGGCCATGGCTGGTTTTTTTAGCCATGGTTTGGGTTGAGCCCACCCACAGCCTGGGTCCTGGGAGGTCAGGGTGGGTGGACTGTTTAGAGCTCCTGTCTTTAGAGGGTTCACTGAAGGCACTCACAGGAAAAGGACGATGCCCGTGTTGGCCATGGCATAGGCGAGTCCCAGGATGCCACTGCCCATGATGGCGTTGCTGAGGTTGAAAACTGACATCCCAAATGAAGTCTTCCCCACAAACTGCAGGCACCAGAGTGAGATGGGGGCGGGGGGGAGAGACAGCGACGCATGGAGGGTATCCCAACATTCCCCCTCACTGTCCCTTAACCTCCCGTCACTGCCCCAGAGCTCTTTGTTACTGCGTGAAATCTCCCAAGCCCCCCACCCCACTGTGCCCTCCGGCTCACGTCTGTGAAGTGTGGCTCCTTGCTGGGGTTTTTCTGTAGGAAGCCCTCGCCCTCAACACAGCTCCGTCTGGGGCCTTCGACCCTATAGGCACAGGCCAGAGCAGTCAGCTCAGCTCCGGCCCTTGCTCTGCACCCTGCCCTGCCCTGACCACGACTGGGTCCCTCTGCTCACCTCTGGTTGACAGCCGTGGGGGTGGTGACTGGGAGCAGCCCCTCTGAGTGTTTGCCGTTGGGCACCAGCTCCACCATTTCCGTCTGCAGAGGTGCCTCCATGGTCAGGGTCTGCCACCCAGAGCACTGACTCTCACAACAACACAAGTCAAAGGTCTGCAGAGCAATGGTCCCTCTGGTTATCCCTTCTCCCAGGACCCATGGCCCAGCCTCCCATGGGGAGTCTACAGCCTATCACACCTCCCAGAAGCTCACTCAGGATTTATGTGCACATGCAGCTGTGCCTGCTGCCTCCCCGGGACCTGCTTTTGGGGGAGTAGAGCTCAGATACCTGAGTTCTCCAAGACATCCTGATGGGACAGCTTGGCCAGTACGTAGCACTCCCCCCACCACTCACATACCAGTCCAGGCAAGCCCTTGGGACCTCAGTTTCTCCATCTGCGAAGTGAGGATCAGCTGGATGACCTGAGTTCAGAGTCCAGTGGTGCCTGGACCCCAGGATGCTGAGTCCCAGGAATCCAGACCCCGCGCTGGTGGTGGGCCCTGGATTGACACCCCCTCCCTGACATTAACACCGGGAGACGGTTTCCTGTGCCGGCCCTGTGTGCCAGGGGCCTCCTAGCCAACCTAGAATGGCACTGCCCGACGGCTGGAGGCCTTGGGAGAGGGTGAGGGCTGTGGGCCCTGTTCCCAGCCGCCCGGCGGGCACTGCTGGCAGCCAGAACAAAGGGCCTTCTGTGGTCTGAGAGCTGGCGCTGGGAACGGCAGGCGCAAAGGCTACCCCCCCGGAGCCAGGAGGCCTGAGGCGGTGCTGGGTGGCTGGACACCTGGGCCCTGCCCGCCTGGCTGCAAAGGGCCCTCAGGGGGCCATCCAGGAAACGAGCGTCCCAGGGCCGAATTCTCTGAGCCACACAGGCCTCACTTTCCACACAGCCATGACCTCAGGGCCATGTTCTCCTTCAAGCCTCTCTTCCCCTGCTAGGGGAATACCCCTACCCCTTAGGTGACCACCCTCCAGTAGTGGACCATTGGAGCAGATTCTCCATTTCCTAGAACCCCAGGCCAGGAACTCAGGGTCTTAGGCAGCTGTAGAGGAGTCTAGGCCACTGGATCAGTCCTCCCTTCCCTGCCCTCAGGGCATGGCTCTGCTGGGCCTCTAAGGAGCCAGCTCCGCCCCCCCCCCCCCCCC